GCGCCCGTCCTGGGCCTCTGGGGATGCCCGAGAGGGAGGGTGGGTGGGCGCCGGGGCAGGGTGCTGCGTGCCTCTCTTCAGTTGGTGTCTGTCGTGTTGTCGCAGGCTGGCCCGGGTGACCGTCCTCCATGACTGCCTGGGCTGCAGGACCTTCGAGCTGCCGCCTTCTGCCGCTGTGGGGGACGTGAAGGCGCGTATTGACGCGGAAGCCGGCTTCCCCCCCGCCGAGCAGCGGCTGTGGCACCGCGGGAGAGAGGTGAGGGGGCGCGGCAGGGCGGGTGGCGGGGGCACCTCCGGTCTCTGGTGGCCTTTCACACCGCCGTGGTACTAGAAGTCCCCACGCAGCTGCTTTTTGCATCTTGCCAGGTCTTCTGGTGCACGGGCAGCACAGTGCGTGTGTCCTTAGGTGAGGGTCTCTCATGGGAAGCAAGGAGGTCGTTTGAACAAGCAGCTAACCCTCGTACTTCTCTTGATGGTGCCAGCTTTTATGATTCAAGTTTTTATGTCTTTTTCTGACATAATCCGTGTGCTCTATTGTTATTTCTTTGGGGGGGAGCAGAAGAGTCACCTGAGAGTGCTGATGTATTTGTTTTGGCTTCCTTTGGATCTTTAATTGATTTTCCACCTGCTCACCAGCTTCAGCAGCAGAGCTGACATCGCCATGACAGGAAGCACTTACAAGTTAAAAATTGAGGTCTGGGTACAGGAGGGAGAGTGAATGACCTTGTTCTGTTGAAGGCATAGGCCTGGGGTCACCGTTTCAGTACTGCTTGGCATGCTTCTAGCCACGCTCTTGGGAAATGGAACCTGGAGATATTGGTGGGATGGGATGAGTAGAGGCAAGAAGGGGAGAGAGAGGAGGTTGGAAATTAGAGTTAAATAGGGCAAGGGGACTTGCAAATATATAAAGGAGAAGAGAAGGCTCCAGGGAGACCTTATTGCGGCCTTTCAATATATAAAGGGGGCTTATAAGAAAGATGCAGAGAGACTTTATACCAAGGCCTGTAGAGACAGGACAAGGGGCAATGGTTTTAAACTGAAAGAGGGTCGCTTCAGATTGGACATAAGGAGAAATATTTTACTATGAGGGTAGTAGACTGGAACAGGCTGCCCAGAGAAGTTGCGGATGCCCCATCATTGGAAGTGTTCAAGGTCAGGTTGGATGGAGCTTTGAGCGACCTGATCTAGTGAAAGATGTCCCTGCCCGTGGCTGCGGTGTTGGACTAGGTGATCTGTAAAGGTCCCTTCCAACCCAAACCATTCTGTGATGCTAGGAAAGAACTAGATGTTAGTAGTTGTATTGCTCAGGAAGCTTTTAAGAACCTACATGGGGAACACAAGTAATCTTTGAGTGCTTGGGTTTGAAACAAACTGGCCATGTAGTTTATCTTTTATTTTCTTGCCTGGTTTTGTGTGTCCTTTATTTTGTTCTCTTCAGGCCTTCCTGTTTTGGGAGGAAGGAGATCTGTATATCACTTTCTAAAATGCATCTCGAAGCGAAAATCTGAGCAGCACTCTGTCTGGCACAGAAAACTATGTTTTGGAAGGGAACAGTCAGTAAGCAGACTGTAATAGCTATTCTGATTTTTTTTTTTAAATATTAAACTAAAATACATACGTGAATAATTGTACTGTAGCAATTTTGAAAATCCTTTATAAACTTTTGAACTCCTGTTTACTGGGATCAAATTATTTTTTAATTTACTGAGGTAGTAGAATTTTTGTCGGTAAATCTTTTTTTCCGTTAAAGCTGCTATGTGCAATTTAGAGATGTTAAGTAAAATCCAGTATCTCTTTCTTTCATAGTTCCTTACAGTGTTAAACTATTAACTTGGATCTGTTCATTCTCTAAGTTTCTGCTGGTGTTTTGCTACAAAAATCCTACCTGAGAAAATTCAGTTATTCTGTCCTTTTTAATAGTTGGTGATGGGTTACAGCATTCTGTGGATTCTTTTTTATTTTAGTGAGTCCTGAGTGGGTCGTATACCCCATTTAAGCTATTTTACATCTTGAGATAAGATCATCTCAAGTATAAAATTTCTGTAGGAACTTACAATAAATGCACTGTTGTTTCAAGTAATATTTAAAACTGGTTTAAGTAAAAAGGAGTATAATTTTTTTCTTATTAATGTTTTTAAATTATGACTGCATACTGTGGACTAGGACTGTCTTTTGCTTATTAAATATAGTTAGATTATAAGCATCTACGTCTGTGTAGGCACCAACTTCTTTCTAGTGATTTGGTTTTACCCATTGAAGTGAGGAGGTAGTCTTGAACTTTGCTATAAACTGAGACTAATATAATAATATAATTTCACATAATAAACTTTTAATATAGTTTACTATAAACGGAAAGCAATTTGAATTGGTTAAGTTTCTAATTAGCACAGCGCAAATTCTAATTCTACATTTGTTATCATGTTATGCAGGATAACCTCACGTCATATATGACTATTTTAGCATCACATTGTATATGACTGGGGCACACATATAATACGAAACTAGAACTGCAGCAAAACCATTATGTGCTATGATTACTAAATAGTTTTCCCAATGGCTGCTCAGGAATTTGTTGCTTAGTTTGCCCCAGTTTCTCCGTGATGTTCCCGGTGAGTCCGTAAGTGTGCATGTAGAGGTAACGGGGAGATGAGGCTGTCGAATTCTTCAGGGGTGTTTCCGTGACACACTTTTCTCTCTACACATTCTGTATTACTAGCTGCTTTGAGCTGATACTGCTTAGTTTAAAACTCCTGTGAAGTTGCATACCCTTATGTACTTTTTGGAGTACATAGACCATGTACTTCCTGTATATATTTATTTTCTTTATGGGCATGCACCTTAGAACAATAACTGCTTTAGTTCTATGCTTCCAGAAGTCCCCAGAACATGGAACTTCTCAAATGTAAAAATGGGAGGCCATGGCTTGCTCTTAGTATCCTTCTCTAGGCATTTTTCCCACCTGATTTGTTTGCAGCCATTTTTTTGATCCTGTTACTAACAAACTGATACTTCATCTGAGGAGTATCATTAGGCAAAGGAGGCCATCCTAGACCTCAGGGACTGAAAGTGCTGCTCAAACTGAATAATGGATGTTTCAGAGTATTTGTATACTTTTAGATAAAACCAGACTTCATAGAATAAATATGTAGGAAATGAAGCTACAGTAAATATTTGTACTGCAGAATGTTCTGATCAAGACCTGTCTTATTTTTTTATTTCAGTTATCTGATGGTATCAAGATTGTGGATCTTCAGAAGTCTCAAAATCAAGTTTTTCTGAAGCTTCAGTCAAAAGGGTTGAAAGGAGGAGGTATGAAAAATACTTGTCTCTGTTTATAAATGGGACGGTCAAAGCATTTTCTGATGGAATCTGGAGTTAATTAAGATTATTCTCTTCTTTAAATGGGAAGCAATTATTTTTCTTAAGTCCTAGGTATCCCTTCACTTGTTCTCTTGATTCTGCTCCAGAAAAACTAAACTTCTCTTTTTAAGTGCCTCGGTGTTTAATTTTTTCTTTGTAATTTCATGTGTAGAAATTAGAATATTGCTGTCCTTTGGAATCAATAAAACTTGCCTTGCAGTAGCGTTAATAGCTGCCTTGTCTCATAAAATAAGCTGAATACTCGTAAGCAATTCAGATACTGAAAGGGTATCTTCTCAGTAACCGCTGTGTAGAGAACTATACCATTGGTAAAAAGCTTTTGATTTCTTCTGATTTTTTTTGTTTGTTTTTTTCTTTTGATTCTGTATGTTTAGTTATATTTTTATTACAAAAATTGCAGGTATATCTGTTTGTATGGCATCTTGAATTAGATTATGATACCTGAATATCTTCAGAAATGCTCTGAAATCTGTTGATTATGTTACTTGGTTGCTAGCATTAATATTCTTTTAACAATAACATTATTATAAGGGAATGAAATAAATGCTAATGGGGTGGTAGGATGAAGAAGGAAACCCTTCTTTTCATGCAGATATTTTATTTGGTGTCACAAAATGTTGTATTTCTTAGTTTATGTAAGCCATGAGTGTACTGGATTATGGTTTTCTTGTGACAGAGGGAAGTGAAGCATTTGTATATTAGCCAGTTCATGTTCACATTCTCTAGAACCTGCAATATTTAAAAACCACCTATGAAAATGAATCCCATGGTTCTATGGCATCAAATGTTTTTCTTTCTCTCATTCTTGAGAGAGATAATGCTTGCTCTGATAATTTTTTGCTCTATGTAGGCTGTGATAGACTAAATAAAAAGAGTTTTTCTTCTTTTCTGAGCTGTTTTTTTGCCATGCAAGTATATGGAGAAGATAGTGTAGTAGCCCTAAGAAATCTTTCATGGGAAAGAAAAACTGTTGCTGTTTTTTGTGCCTAGGAATGGAATATTTGGCTGTGAGATTCTCTTAGAGATACCACTTTCAGCAGTCCATGTCTAGATAAAGCACTTAACTTTTTCTGGCCCACGACTCCGATGTAAGTCAATCTAAAAGATCTGAAGGCTTTAGTACCAGTCTTTTGTGTTCATCCTGGAGTCTTTCAGTTCTGAGATTTTTCCTTACAGCAGATGAATCAAGGAAGGCCCTGAATTTCTAACTTCAGGAAGTGCATGGTCAGTAGGGCCAAGCACATTGGTTGCTGAAGTACTCTGAATATCGCCCATGTCACCTCTGTGTTCATTCATCACTGGTGTCTATCAAATAATGCATAATCTTTTCATATGATCACAGAATAATTCATGTTGGAAGGGACATGAGGAGGTCTCTACTCCAACCTTCTGCTCAAAGCAGGGTCATCTCTGAGGTCAGACCAGGTCAAGTTTGGAAAGCCTCCAAGGATGGAGACTGCATAGGCTCTCTGGGCTCCTGTTCCAATGCTTGACTGACCTTATTGTGGAAAAAGTTTCTCCTTCAGATTTGTGGAACCAGTTTTGTGTTAAATATGACCAGCTGTAATACGCAAAAAAAAATCAGTTCAGTCTTTGACAGGATGCAGTAAGTCATGATCTCAAGATAGAGTAATTTTTGTGACTGACATAGAGCAGCTCTACTCTTAGATGTAAAGAGTTAGAATAACGTCTATCTTCAGTCTTATCACTTAGAAGTTACTTGTCTGTTTTTGTGGTTCCCATAGTGAAATGTGTTGTTTAAACACTTCTGCCTGCTAAGTTAGACTTAGAGAAGATTGTTTTCTTGTTTTTTTTTTTTTTTTTTTTAAGAGAATTTCTCCTAAGAAACGAAACACCCAAACTTTCCTACTGTTGATCAGTTCACCTTATTTTGGAAGTTTGCATATTGCATGTTGACTTTCATATACTTATGTGTACTGGAAAAGTAATAACAAAAGTTTATAAAATATTTTCCACACTTTCAGCTGTGAGTTGTGATTTCTTGGGGTTTTTTTCATTGATGCTATTAAGTTACCTTAAATACAGCAATACAAAAATCTCCTAAAGACAAGCTGTTTGATGTTTTCACTTGATGTTTTCTCAGCAAATAGATCTCTTATCTATCCCCTTTTTTCCACATTGCTGAGGATTCTGTGCTTTTTTTTTTTGTCCAACGTTTTGTTCCATAGTATCTAATGTGTGTGTGTTTGAATCTGTATGCTTCATAAATACACATATATGCAGATAGGGGAGAGAGAATAATTACTTTTATTAATAACTTTAAAGGGAAGTGATAAATGGGGCATCAGTAGAGTCTGTTTTTCTTGTGGAGATTGCATCATTAATATGTTTGAAGCACATGTTTTAGAGGTTTGGATTTAGGGAGCCGCTCATCAGTCTCGGACTGGAGTTTGAATTGAAGAGTATGGTCCTTTCATTCTGTGATAGACTTTTTCTCTTAGAGCAGGGGCTAACCTTGGGGTTAGTGGAGTCTGTGTCCACCAGAACTTCATAATGCTTGGTAGTACCTCTTTTCCCTCCTATGCTAAGCCCAGGTAACACCAAAGCTAGTACCAGGCTCAGCACCACGGTATGCCAGAACAGGAAGTGTATGCTAGAGCCGAAGTATACTGTGCCAGTGTGTAGCTGTCAGTAGGGATCATCAAAAAAGGCTATAAAAAGGGTTAGAGCCACTGGTGCCCTAGAATACTGTCCTGCTACTTAAAAAGTAGTAGTCCTTTAGAAGTTGCTATATTTGAACATCGAGTAGTTGGAGTTGGGATATAACTGATGCAAAGACTTAGCCCCCAAATTTGTTTTATCCAGATATGAAACAGCATGTTGACATTAACATCCAACTGCTATTTTAATTTTCTTAATAAAAAGATTTATAATGTATTATTTTTACAGTTGATTTTGGAAATACAAGATTTTACAGTATCAGGCCTTGAGTTAATTTAAATTTTTCTAAATTCCCAGTAATTGTTTAGTCACTATTTTTTTTATCTGAAATTAAGTGCATAGTAGCATAATAAACAGATTATTTTTTGTTTGTTTGTCTTTTAGGTCGTTTTGGACAAACAACTCCACCACTTGTTGATTTTCTTAAGGATATTTTAAGAAGATACCCAGAAGGAGGACAGATTCTTAAGGTACACAACAAATGGTATTTTTAGCAGTCATTTAATATATATGATGTAATACCGTTAGTTTATCACTTCCCAGCAAATCTTGCAGTTGTCGTACCTCATTAGATATTAATTCTGGTACAGGAGATACATGTTTCCACTTCTGTGGACAAGGCAAAGTGAGTTGTGTGGCTTTTTTTTTTTTTGGTGTTTAACTTCTCTGAGTTTGCTTGTCAAAGACATCATTGTAATTTATTAAAAAAATAGAGATAAAATGCAGGTGTTACAATTAAATCAGAGACTTCATGATGTACGTTATGTGAGTGAGCTAAAATGTTTATTTTGCTTGTTACTTTATCTTTCATCTCTGCTATAAGCTATCGTAAAACCACGTAATAGTATATAAATTTTTTTGGGAGGGATTATCTTAGTATAAGATTGAGATAAGCTAGAGAATTTAATACAAGATTTTGCTGTGGAATTTCTTGGTAGCTACATATATTTTCCTCAGTGAACTTTGACAGCGTCACAAAGTTTCATCATTAGATTAACAGCACTTTTAGGATGGGAATCTTTGGGTGGCTTTTGGGAGTCTTGCTCTAGAGTGGTAAGAATACCGAACCCATCAGTTTTGTATGGGCTGAAAAACATTTTTAGTCTAGACGTGGTTCTCATAACAAAAGAATGTCACAGGATTTTCTGAACTGAAGTTAGTGTTCTTTATGGTGTTTTATTGTTGGTCCAAGATACTTCAAAGTATGCAAAAGCAGGGCATGTTATGTTGTGCTGGTCCACATTTTAATGTTGAATGTTACATGTACAAGCCTAACAATGGAAATGACAACGTGGATTTAAGCACTAAAATTTTTTTCAGTAAATAGGATAGTGAACTGGTAGAGTGGAATTTACCTCACCTCACTTTAGACATGGCTGGAACACTTCTCCTGTGAAGAAAGGCTGAGAGAGTCTGGGTTGTTCAGCCTGGAGAAGAGAAGGCTCCAAGGAGACCTTATTGCAGCCTTTCAATACTTAAAGGGGCCTTATAAGAAAGATGGAGCCAAGGCCTGTAGAGACAGGACAAGGGGCAATGGTTTTAAACTGAAAGAAGGTAGGTTTAGACTAGATATAAGGAAGAAATATTTTTATGATGAGGGTGGTGAGACACTGGAACAGGTTGCCCAGAGAAGTTGTGGTTGCCCCATGATTGGAAGTGTTCAAGGTCAGGTTGGACAGGGCTTTGAGTGACCTGATCTAGTGAAAGATGTCCCTGCCCATGGCTGTGGTGTTGGACTAGGTGATCTTTAAAGCTCTCTTCCAACCCAGACCAGTCTATGATTCTGTGATCTGAAAAAATACAGATCATTCTAAATTCGTCAAGTCCTTCAAGAGGAAAGACAGGTACTTGTCGAAGATGATTTGTCTGATTTATCGTAGCTTCCTATGCTAACGTCTGGAAGTGCCAGTTTGATTTTTCTGAAGAGCATCTGGGGTGATTAGTTCATATTTGGACGTTTAACTTCTCATCCAGAATGCTTTATCACATGGATGTTAAGAGATTAATTTCCTTAGTATATGGGAATACTAGGTTCTAACTAATGGGATTTAGTACAGATATATACAGATAGATATATAAAAAACCACACAAATGCAAATGGTAATGGATGATGACAGTTCCTGCTGTCTCTTGGAAGGTTTTCCTCGCAACCGTGGAACTAGAAGTTGATTATTTTTAGTGTGAATGCTTAAGATAAGCATATCTTAAATTGTTTTGGCAAACTGCATCCTGGATATGTTCTGAGCAGTGTCCGTTCATAGGATGGGTGCTTACATTTTTACTATTTCCCAGTACTAGTTGAATCTGTAAGATGCATTTGAATCATGAGGGGTTCAGACCTTCGTAACAACTTAAACCCAATTTCTTATTCCAACATTCCAAGAAGTAAGATAATGTTCTTAGAAATCAGATAGGTAAATCTAAAAGCAGAAATGTTCCTCTTTTCATGGTTTACAATTTAGACTTAACAGACTGTTAGGGAGGGATTACTACCAGGAATTTTGCTGATCTGTTAAAATTGATTTCACTGTTTGGATTCTTCAAGTACAGTGCTGTTACAGCTGAATGGAGCAGAAGCTCTGTGTGCCACAGCATGAATGCAAGTCTCTGACTATACGGTGGTTTCCATACTTACTATTTAATATTTCTAGAGGCTTTGGCTATCTTTCTGTATCTTCTTGAATGATTGTCATAATTATTCTTTTAGAAGAATAATTGCATGTTTTTTGTAATTAAATACCTCATGGAGATTCTTTAAAAATGTATTATTTATGCTGAACCATGGGTATATGTCTTGCTTCAAAATTATGTAGAAGTAACAATATAAACAACATATTTTGGTTATTTGTGTGATGCACCTTATAAACCGAACATACTGTCACAAAGTGAAAAATCGAGGGGTTATAGTTTTGAAACCAGATACTAGATAACAATGAGCTTATTTTACTGTCAACAGTATATTAGAATGCAACCTAATCTGAAATATCTGTTGCTAGTTGATGCATTTTTTTTTAGGTAAAGTTTCATCTTGCTAGCAAGTCTTTTATTTTTATGCATAATAGCATGCAATTTATGTTGTAGGAATACATTGGATGTGATGTGATATACCTACGTAGTTTTTCAATTCAGCTGAGATACTTCCTTATGCCAAACTTACATATACCCACACAAACATACACACGTGTGTATGTGTGTATATATGTATGTATGAGTGTGTATCTTTGGAGCCCTGGTACACTTTGATGATTCAGTGTAAATAGAGCATTGTGTGAAGCTCTAATGCTGTAGGTTTTTATAATCATGCTAACGTATCTGTAGTGTATAATGCTATTGACGTAAATGGGACTGGATAGGCATATTTTATTAATGGTAGTGTTTACAGAACTAGTTTATTAACATTTTAGTTATTAGAGTTTTGCATAGTTCTCACCACTACTAATTAACAAATACTCAATAAGCCTCTTTCTAGTCTATGGGCTTCATTCAACAGGTGAGCTCTGTTGGTTCATGATTTACAAAGTTACTGGTCAGAACTGTTTTGCAGCCCTTTGCTGAAGGGGTGTTAGAAGTGAGCACCATGGCTTTTGAACAGTTGGTTCATGCTGTGAAATGTTAACTTAAACGGAATGCAGTTATGTAAAGAAGAGTGCTGTGTGTTGCCCTTTTATGACCTGTTGCCTCACTGTTGTCTTACAGCTGTTGTGTGGGCTTAACAGTAAACTTTGATTTTTTTTTTTTTTTTTTTTTAAAGTTTATTTTTTATTCTGCCATCTTGCATTGTTTTGAGACTTGTACAACTCTAATTTGGGATAATATAGTTATAGTAGTAACAGTTTAGCAGCTTTAGGGTCTAGAGCACAAGTCTTGTGAGGAGTGGCTGAGGGAACTGGGGTTGTTTAGCCTGGAGAAAAGGAGGCTGAGGGGAGACCTCATCGCTCTCTAGAGCTACCTGAAAGGAGGTTGTAGCGAGGTGGGTGTCGGTCCCTTCTCCCAAGTAACAAGCGATAGGATGAGAGGAAATGGCCTCAAGTTGCGCCAGGGGAGGTTTAGTTTGGATAGTAGGAAAAATGTCTTACTGAAAGGGTTGTCAAGCATTGGAACAGGCTGCGCAGGGAAGTGGTGGAGTCCCCATCCCTGGAGGTATTTAAAAGACGTGTAGATGTGGTGCTTAGGGACATGGTTTAGTGGTGGACTTGGCAGTGCTAGGTTAATGGTTGGACTTGATGATCTTAAGGGTCTTTTCCAACCTAAATGATTCTATGATTCTATTCTATGATTTATTTCTAAACTTTATAAATACTGCTTGTGTGTAGTATTTGAGCTCCATATCACTTTTATAGTATTTGTCTGAATATTCCTATTATAATGATGTCTATTTTCATTCAGGTAAACTGAATAAAATTATTTTGGTTGAAAAGTATGAAAACAATTACACTTGTCTCAAACAGCAGAAAATAATAAGCACTTAAGTTGGAAAGCCATTGCCAGAATATGTACAACATTACTGCATTATACTTTGGTTTGTTTTGTTTTTTTTCTGTCTCAGGAACTGATACAGAATGCAGAAGATGCTGGTGCCACAGAGGTTAGGTTTTTGTATGATGAAACTCAGTATGGAACAGAAACTCTATGGTCAAAGGACATGGCACAATATCAGGGTAAATACAATTTTTATTAATTTTGGCCATTATTCTTCAATATGTATGTGGTTCTGTGTTTTTCTCCTTGCTGTGAGATGACCATATAGGGATGACTCCATTGCTACTTCCACCTTACTAGGTGCATAATTTGTCTATGTTCTAATTTTGGTAATTCTTTTCCAAAACCAGTGTTTGGTATTGAAGGCCTTACACTTTCTTCTTGCAGGTTGTCAGTAGCAGCTTTCCAGCTGCTTCCAGTTAATGTTGTTTGAGAAAGTCTTCCATGTTCTGCTTTATTCTAAGTCACTTCTCCCAGGATGACTGTGTATGCTGTGGTTTATTTCCCTGGGTTCACTTGGTATCCCAAAATATAAGAAAGGATTTTTAGTAGAGCAAGTAAACAAGATTTAATAAGTAAGACCTGGGATAAAAGAATGCTTGGGGTATTAGACAATAATTTTCAGATTTTTTACAGATTAACCTTTACCTTTTGAGAGCTATCTCCAGTTCTTAATGTAAAGATGACCCTAGCCCCTTACATTTCAGCACTCTTTGGGCAGTTCTGTTTTCTTCCCCGTCTATTATTCTTTGACCCTTATACCAAACTTTGCTCCGTGCTGCCTGTATATTGCAAATGTAGTTTCTTGTAACTTTAAGGTTTTTACATCATCTAATACAGACGGCTTTGTGTGATAGAGGTCAGCTATGTATCTATCAAACAAATTAGTTTGCATAATCATCCCAAAAGGCATTCAGTTGTGATATGAAGATTTCAATGATGAATGATTCACTACTTCTTGTTTCTAGTTTTTTTCAATTGTTAATAAGCCTCATTATGTCTTCTAATTTGAATTTGTCTGTCTTACTTTCTAGAAACAGGTTATTGTTGTATCTTGCCATGTATTCCCTTCCAGTGGAGGTATTAATAGACTGTGATTAGTACATCTTTCAAACATCTTTTTGATAGACTGAACAGATTGAGCTTAAGCCTTGCGCCACAGGACACTTCTTTCAGAAGTTTTGTTGTTTTCTGCTTTCTGTTCAGTTTTTCAGAATCATTCTTTTAAAATGTGGACACCAGAACTAGATACCACATCAGAATATAAATCTCTTAAGTACCATATACAGAGGTAAATCCATCTTCTTGCTTCTGTTTTTGCTGCTACTCTCTTTCATCACCAAGCATAATTTGATGTCAGCTTGAGTCATAGCTTCCCCATTAAATTTGCACACGCATACTTTAAAGAAATACTCTCTCAGTTCTGTAAGTTCATTTCCTAGAAATTTTTAACAGTAAATAGTTTTCTTCTGTCATCTTTTTAACGCTTGCCTATTTATTATAGGGCCAGCATTTTATGCATACAACGATGCAATTTTTACCCCTGAGGACTGGCATGGTATACAGGAAATAGCAAGAAGCAGGAAGAAAGATGATCCCCTGAAAGTTGGAAGATTTGGAATTGGCTTTAATTCAGTTTATCATATAACAGGTACTCAGCAGATATTTTAAAATGAAAACGTTGAAGTTTTAAATTGTTTAGTTATTTCAGATGTTCGTCAAACATTCAATGTTTTCTCTATATTGCATTTTTAAATTAGATCCCTGGCTAAGTTTCCTTAAGAAGCGTTTGTATTTTTCTAAAACTGTCTAAGGTATCCTTTGGATTTTGAAGGTTTTCGGAGGAGACTTTCTTCTAGTAACATCATCATGTACTTAGTCCCTTATATTGAAATGAACATTCCTTCACACTATTATTTCAGTTATGCACTGCTGTTCATATTATAGAGGCCCATGATACAGGGTAGATGTGCAAGTAGAAGTGTGGAAGTTTAGACTAGACTGAAACTTTTGTGCAGGTTCTTTGCATAATAAGCAGTGATTTTTATTTCATGCTAGAAAGGATATTCCATAATAGAGGTATATGCACATTTACATTTGAGAGAGATAGTACATACTCTTTCACAAGCTGGTAATATTCAGTCGTGAAACCTATTATTCTGGCAAAATGTTTTACTGCTGTACAGATGGTGACGATAGGCTTGAGTGTTTATGGATAAGAATCAGGGGGCAGGCCAACAAGACAGATATCATGGTGGGAGTCTGTTATAGACCACCCAACCAGGATGAAGAAGCAGACAAAAAGTCAGCAGAACTGCTACCTTGGACTTCCGGAGGGCAGACTTTGGCCTGTTTAGGAGCCTGTTGACAGAGTCCCTTGGGAGGCAGTCCAGGGCAAAGGAGTCCAGGAAGGTTGGACATTCTTCAAGAAGGAAACCTTAAAGGTGCAGGAGCAGGCTGTCCCCATGTGCCAAAAGATGAGCTGGTGGGCAAGACCACCAGCCTGGCTGAACAGAGAGCTTTGGCTGGAACTCAGGGGGAAAAAAGGAGAGTTTATGACCTTTGGAAGAAGGGGCAGGCCACTCAGGAGGACTACAAGGATGTCGTGAGGTTATGCAGGGAGAAAATTAGAAGGGCCAAAGCCCAACTAGAACTTAATCCGGCTATTGCCATAAAAGACAATAAAAAATGTTTCTATAAATACATTA